GTCTGGAGACTCTCTTTTTTTTTGATACCGGGGATTGAACTCAGGTCCTTACACTTTCGCAGCAGGCGGCGAAACCATTGAGCTAAATCCCCGGCCTGAGACTCTCTGGTTTTTGCTAATGAAATGCCCTTCGTCTCCAGAGGGGTGGGGACATAGAGGCTGTTTATATCATCATTTACCCAATTTCTGTTTTCAGCCCCATTACTACTCTCCACTTCCCAAAGTACCTAGAGCTCTTCTGAGAATCTGGGGCAGTGAATAAGACCTGCTCTCTGTTGCGATATTCCTTTAAAATCACTTAGGACCTATAACTTTCTGAGTTTTTGTTGTCCTTTTTGTTTTTTTGCAGTACTGGGCATTGAACCCTGGGGCACTCCACCACTAAGCTACATCCCCAATCCTGTTTATTTTTGATATAGTGTCTCACTAAATTGGCCAGGCTGGCTTCAAACTTGTGATCCTTTTGCCTTAGCTTCCCTAGTAGCTGGGATTGCAGGCATGTGCCACCATGCCTGGTTCTTTAAATTCCTCTTATTTCCACTCTCCTATCTGCTTTTCATATTACATCCTGTGGTTCAAATCATACAAGTCTTCTGATTTCAAAGACCAAGTTTCTTTTTTTCTTACTCTCCATGTTGTTTTGGGTGATAATTGCCCAGGACAGCAGAGGACCAAAAAAGCTTTATCTTGCCATTTAAAACCTGCAAGTTTCCCCTCATGCTTTTGCATCTCTAACAAGGTAGCAAAATACTTGGCACCTAACAGACATTAAGTACTTGCTTAATCAGTGACCAGATGTAGTTATATACAAACTAAGCTGCAGTAAGAGAAAGACCACAAAATGCAATGAATTAAACAAGGTAAATTCCTATATTTTCTTTATAGAACAGTCCATGGATAAGAGGATAAACAGGTTTTACTAGACTGTTAAAGTCATTAAGGAATTCAGATTTATTCTTATTTTCCTCCATCCTTTCTACTCTCTTGTCTTGGTCAAAACTGCTTTATCATTACTCTCTGTACCTCAGACCACAAAAAAGGAGTCAATCAACCTACAAAAAAGCTTACTAGCTGGAAAATTCTATACATACATCTATTATCTCAGTTTCCATGAGCCAGAAATCTGGGCCAATAACTACATGACCTTAGAGGCAGATCCTTCCCCAGTGAAGTTTCAGATGAGGCTCTAAACCTGGCCAGCACCTTGACTGCAGTTTCTGAGAGTCTCTGAAACAAAAGATCCAGCTATGCTCTTCCCAGATCTGGCCCACAGAAACTATGAGATAAAAAATGTATGTGGTTTAAATCACTAAGTTTGGGGTAATTTATAATGCATCAAATAGATAACTAATATAACATTTCAACTTTCACCATGTAAATTATTAGTAGTTGACAAAAGGAAAACTTTCACTTGAATATTAAAGGTAAGTACAATTAGCTGGATGTAGTGGCTTGCCATCCCTGCATTCTGAAGGCTGAGGCAGGAGGATCACTGGAATTCAAGGCCAGCCTGAACTACATAGTGAGACCTTGTCTCAAAACAAGGACAAAATAATAACAACAACAACAGAAGAGAAAGGTAAGTACAATTTAAAGTATGAGGCCAATATAAGTTTTTGACAATCTTTTAGATTTAAGAGCATTAAGGAAATATTAAATACTAGGCTTTATTTTAATGCCTAAACTTAATTCATAAAATCTGGAATGATCTGCTGAAAAACCTTACCCATATTGCTGGTATTATCTTAGTCCTTTATCTTTTCAATTTGTCTCTAAAATGTAGTTTCCTCTCAAACATAAGTGCTACTAATGTTGTAACAGAAAGGACAAACATAACATCACAATGGAAAACTGTTCAATTTCAGATTAAAGGGAATAGAATTAGGAGTTTTCTTTTCCAAAGGAATTACTGTACAAAGAATAAAGGTAGCTGATGACAGGAAAATCAATATTTATACTTACTGTTCATTTTTACATCTTTTACATGTAAACATGCACTATACATCAATGAAGTAAAATGCCTCAAATGGTTTGTGAGGGTGTAGAAATCTAGATGAAATTTGAAGGCAGTCCCAGGCACTAGGCTATCCCTGGGTCCCTATGTTAGCTAAAACTTAACTCATGCATTCATTTAATTAACAAATACATAAGGAACACCAACGAGCACCTAAAATAAGGAATAGTTCAGTTTAACAGGTAAATAAGTAATGGGATCTGGCATGGTGCTGCCATTAGGCAGTGCTGGCAGAAGAAAGGAAAAGACTTAACTCAAGGTGGAAGTGTAGTTGTGTGTTAGGAGGATGTTTCAGTTAAAATGACATCTAAATTTGGACCTGAAGGATGATTAGGGATTAAAAATGGAGGGGAGTAGTAAGGGAAAAGAATTATGGGGGAGGGAACATCACCTGCGAAAGCCCAGAAGGAAAAGAGAAGCTGATATATCTGAGTGGACTTTCAGTAGAGGGCAGAGGTATGTGGCCAGAGATGTGGAGAGAAGTATGCAAAGCCTTATTTTTTTTTTAAACAAATCTTTATTCTTTTTTTTTGGTACTGGGGATCAAACTCAGGACCTTGAGCTTGTGAGGCAGGCGCCGAAACCACTGAGCTAAATTCCCAGTCCTTGCAAAGCCTTATTATGCAGGGGCCAGGAGGTCATGTTGCAGAGTTTAGACTTTATTTGAAGGAAGCACAAAATTATTGAGGGTTTTAAGCAGAAGACTAATAAAACCTCATTCTTCCATAATGGACATAATGTTCATGACAATTTATTTGATTTCTGGAAATTGCTACATTCCCAGCCCTTTTTATTTTTATTTTGAGACAGGGTTTCACTAAGTCACTGAATTGTCCAGGCTTCACTTGAAATTGCAATATTCTAGTCGAAGCCTCTCAGAGTGGCAATGAATTATCTTAATGAGAAATGTACAAGAACTATAAGAAGTCATAAAATTTTGATAAGACATAAAAGTATCAGACTGATTATTTCTGAATATGAAGACTAATTATTATTAAAGTACTTTTTCATCTTAATCTGTAAATTTAGTGCAATTCTGATAAAAGTTCCAATACAATTTTCAGAGGATAACTGACCTTGATTGTGAAGTTTATCTGGAGAATTAAGTGCCACGAAACCACAATTTTAAAAAGTAAAAAGGTGGGAAGGTTTGCCTTGCTACATATAAAAACATATAATAAAACTACAGTAATTAAAAAATTTTTTAAAATCGAAACATTCAGAGTCTGGAATAGGCAAAGAAAGATCCTCCCCTAGAGGTGACAAAGAGAGCATAGTCCTGTTGAAACCCTGATTTCATACTTCTAGCTTCCAAAACAGTGAGAGAATAAATTTGTTTTGTTTTAAGCCACCCAGCTTGTGGTAATTTGTTATGATAGTCCTAGGAAACTTATATAGGGAGTAGAAGGTAATTTTAAATATGATAAAAGAGGTATCTCAAATGAGTGGGGAAAGAATGAATTTTGTTTACTCGGTAAATAAGGGTTAGGACAACAGACTATGTATTTGATGTTTTTGTTTTTGTTTTTTTGGTACCGGGGGATCGAACTCAGGTCCTTGCACTTGCGCAGCATGCGGTGAAACCACTGAGCTAAATCCCGGGCCCCAGACTATGTATTTGAAAAGAAAAGTTAGATTTCTACTTCATACCAGATACTAAAATTCCAAGTGGATCAAAGATGCAAAATAAAAATGCAAAAAAGAAAAAAACATAGCAACAAACAAATAACAAGAAAAACTTAAGAGTAGGTGAAAATGTAAGAGAATATTTTTATAACCTCGGAGCAGGGAAGGATATTCTAACCAAAGCATAAAACCAAGAAGCCAGATATGATCATTTATAAACAAAAACTTCTATATACATAAAATGAAAGAGAAAAAAATGCAATGTTTGAAAAAAGGATAAACTATTTGCAAGTATGTAATAGACATGGAGTCAATATCCAGAATACATTCAAAGATTGTATAAAACAATAAGGAGATCAGAAGCAACCCAAAAGAAAATTGGGCAGAACATAAAATATAAAGACCAATAATGCATGGCTACTTAACCTCACTAATAATCAAATGAGATGCAAATTAAAATGAGAAAGTACTACTTATTTAGAGTGGCTCAATGTTTTTATAATGACCAGTGTGGAGCAGGGAATAGTTGAACTAGTAATCTCATACAGACAAATTTTTACAATAGTTTTTTGCAGGGCAGTTTGGTAATGTCTATCGAGACTTCAATGTTTAATTTTCATTCATACCCTTTGTTCCAATGCATCCTTTTCTAAGACTACATTCTACTGAAATGTAAGTTCACAAGTAGTGAGAAATTACACTAAATATAGGTTATGCATAAAATAGATTTCTGTGTACGCATTTAAAAAAGAGATCTATACTACATATATTTCAGCAAGTCACAGAATATGTATTTAATAAACATAAATAATAATTGTCTTATGGATAGAATAACAAGATTATAGCTGAGCTTCTGACAATGGATATCCTGTGAGAGGTTAGTAACATTATTACTTCATTTATGTAATATATAATGAGTATTACTTGTGTGCCAGGTATTGGTCTACTGGGGATTCAGGAGTGAGCAACCATACCAACCATAACAACAATAACAAAATGAGTGAGGAAATGGTTAATGTCTACTTTCTAAATATTAATATTTCTGTAAAGTATGATCTTCATTTTTTTCTCTTTAATAAATTTATAGTCAGTTGATTTTTAAAAAAAATATAAGCTATAACACATTAATGAAAACTTTCAACAATACAAAGCAACTTGCTTTGTCATTCTCTTAAAATCAGCCTTATCAAATAGTTTTTAGAAAAGTCATTGGCATAGTCAAGAATATATTTTGGTAAAATTAATGTGAAAGTATCAATAAATTCTTAATACTATAAAATGATTGCTCAATTTAAAAATAAAGAATAATTTTATGGTACCTAATTTGTCTTTCTTCTTTGTGATACAATGTTTTACTTACAATTTGTGGATTAATCTCTTCCTCTCCCATAGGTTCATCCATAATTTGCTGTCCATTCTGTGAAAAGCACAGCAAATAGGAAGTTATCAAAACATATTTTGCATCAAAGTTAAATGAAGGCAGACAAAAAATTATCATTCAGGAATATTTTCACTTCTAAAAGGGTTCTAGTGAAGTAGAACTACCATCTAAGAATGCAGTTTTGAAATTGCAACAGGTTGTGCTTCAAAAGTTCATCTGTAAGTTAATTATTTGAAACTATAAAACATTTTTCCATGGAAATAATGTAAGAAATGATGATTACCTTTCCAGGTGAGCTCTTGAGTTTATTTTAGTTAAATGCATTACAAGTGGTCTTAGTTAATCCTCACCAAACATCATTTACAACTTTGTATGGCAAAACACATTCTAAACCCGACGCTGTCAATAATCAATCGGGAAATCTGATTAATTATTTCAGAGAAAATTAAGCTCAATCTCTTATATTGAAGTAAATTCCAGAGGGATAAAACATTTAAATGTCAAAAATAAACTATATAAGTATTAGATTACAGGTAAATAGTAATCATGGGGTAAAGAAGGTAGAAATTATAAAGAAAATAAATGATGTTTGAATCCAGAAAAGTTTAAAACTTCTACCAGATACCCCCAAAAATAAAACACAAACTGATTATAAAAATTAAAGCAACAACAACAAAAAATAAAGCAACATATGACAAAGGGTTGGTATTCTTGATACAAAAAGAGCTTTGCTTTGCAGACCTGTAAGAAAAAAATGAACCTCAACAGAAATAAGTAATAAGGGAAGAGTTCAGCCTTAGTACCAATTACAGAAATGCATTTAACCCAAAGATACCTTTTGCCTCTCAAATTGGTAATGGTTTACCAAAAAATAACACTCAGTGCTAATGCAGGCATCAGAAAAATAACACTTTGGCTTTACTTCTGGAAAAGCTGTAAATCAGCACAACCTTTCAGGAAGGTAATCTGAGTCTATTTAAAAAAACATAAAATTTTGAAATGTACCATCTATTCTTTTTTTTTAATGGACAAGTGTACAACAAAAATGCTCACCATTTTTTTCCTAAAGAACGCCAAATTGGAAACCTAAATTCCTAACAATAGAGAACTAGTTAAATATACTATGGTACATCCATATAATGGAATACTATGTGATCATTAAAAATGATGATAAAGATGTAAGTTTATTGACATGGAAAGACAGTCACATTTAATAAGTGAAAAAGCAGTTTACAAAACAATATGGATTGTAATGATCCCATTTTAAACAAATATATACATATTTAAATGTATATATTTGTATGGAAAAAACTCTGGAAGGATATACACCAAAATGTTAACAGTGGATATCTCTGGGTAGTAGAATTTTAGACAATTTAAATTTTGTTTTTTCTTATTGGAATTTTCTAATGTGCCTACAATGAATATGTATTATATGTGTAGTTAAAAAAAAGAATTCAGGAAAATTGAGGGTCTTCTTTCATTCCCTCACTGGATAAAAGGAGCAGCCACTTGATTACTTTTTACTTCAACAAGTCTACAAGGATCTAAGCTAACCATCTTTGGAGCATTATAAACTAGAAGTAAAAGGTAGGCCACCCATCACCCAAGGCACCACATGAGGCAGCTTCTCGGAATTTGAACTCCTCTCTCTACTCTTCCCATCACTGTTTACTATTTGTTCATTCATTCATTCATTTCATATCACTCACGCTCTATTCTACGTACTGATCTGGAGATAAAAGGTAAATAAAATATGGCCCTCATTTTAGAAGGTCTGCTGACCTATACAAAGGGCATCTTTCATTTTCACCCACTCTTAAGAGGATGTTCCTAGGTTAAGGAATGTCTATACAATACACTACAAAGCACAGAAACGGTGCCAAAATGCAGAAAAAGGGGGAAAGCAGGTATAAAATGTTTATTTTCCTATGACTTTTAGAGATTACATATTGCCCACTTCTATGGTAAGGAGACTCAACTATCTTCAGGATACTTCTTTTTCCTAAAAGCTACAACCATGTATTCCACTGACTACTGATTATCGAAACACCCAAAAGAAACCTTAAACTAGCTCTTAAGAGTACTGGCTTTGGAGTCAAAACATGTAGGTTCAAAATCCTGTTCTTACATTATCAGTATAAAGCTCTGCTAGATTATTAAGACTAAGCTTTATTTACATAGAAACTAAAGATTTAAAAAGACTTATCTTCAGAGAGTTTTTGTGAACACTAAACGAAATAAATGACACAACTTTAAGCACAGTACCTGGTACTCAATGTTATTTTTATTATATCTAAAATTCAATTACTTCACCTACGGCCCACAACTTGCTACTTCTCCTGTATTAGTCACATTAGTTAATAGCACAATCATTCATCTAGTAGTCCAAACTATGTTTTTTTCATTGATGATAAGCAGTTATATTTTTGTAACACAGATCTGCTCAATGGCTTCTCATTATTTGGCTTTTAGAACACTTGTCTAACTTAAGCTATACTTACATTTTCCATGGAAATAAAATTTGAAAACCATCTGTTCCTTGCAGTTTTTCATGTATGCAAAACAAGTATCATAGAAACAGCACTAAACCTGGAATTGGTAGACCAGAGGTAGAGCCATAGATCTGCCACTTACAAGTTTTATGAATTGGGGCAATTCAGACTTCCTCTCAGTCTGTTATTTTATATCTTCAAAATGGGGATACTTGCCCTATTTACCCAAAGGGTTATTTGGCTCAAAACTAAGATTACTCATAAGAAAGCACTTTATAAATTGTAAAGAGCTATACCAATGGAAATTACTATTATCAAAGTGAGGTAGATTTATGAAGATAAAAAAATTTCATTTTGTCCTTTTGGTCTTAGAATTTTAAAAATTAGGATTGGTAAGGGATCTCAATAATCTTCTGTTCCAACTACACATCATATGTTTGAATTCTTTCTACTGTTGTTGTCTGTACATGGAACACTATCAGGACAAGAATGTAGATTGACCAAGCAGCCTACTGCATTATCTCAGAAAAAACACTGCTTGCTAGAAAAAATTCTTCACTATATAGTAACTTTCCTCAGCCACAAATTCCCTTTAAGATTACAAATAAGTGAAGACTAACTTGCCTGTAGGCTATCTGCAAAGTCACCGGAAATAAATCTATATCATCATAAATCACCCGGAGTCTGGTCTTTTCTAGATAACCTGAGGTGGATAAGTCTCATCACCACTCCCTTCTGAGCACTCTGATTCATTTTTTTTTTTTTGTACTGGGGATCGAACTCATGTCCTTGCACTTGTGAGGCAGGCAGCGGAACCACTGAGCTAAATCCCTGGCCCCCACTCTGATTCATTTTGAAAAGGGGTACATGGGATTATATGCAATTAACTAACATTCTAACCCTTGTACAACCAATGCAGAGTAAAGGGCATTTCGGCTCCCTGGTCCTAGATAATAAACTTATATTAATGCAGTTGGCATCTGCATCACTTTCGTTATGTGCACAACACATTGCTAACTCATACTAAGCTTTCTGTTGATTTAAATCTCTCTTATTTATTTTTTATAGTACAGCTAAGCCCTGCATCCTCTCTCTGTACTGTACCTGTTATTACACTTAGGCCCAGGAATAAAACCTTATTTTAAATTTTTGATTCAACTTCCAGTTCTGATCCATTGCTACAGTTTCTATAGACTGGATCTCCAATCTATCAATCTATCAATCTCTTCACAGATTTCTGTTTCATGTCACCTACAAATTTTACAATATATCCTCTTTTCTCAACTACTCAGCTAATTAACAAGTTATTACATAAAAGCAATCTAAGAAAAAAATTAAGTAAAACATGACCTTAAAGGTGTTTATTCTCTGCTGTTTGCAAAAATACCTACCTCCTTTTTGAGTTTAGCAAAGATTTAAAATTTTCAATAACCTAAGTTTTAAAGTAGCTGGGCACAGTGGCACATGCCTATAGTCCTGGCTACTCAGGAGGCTGAAGTGGGAGGCTCCTGAGTTCAAGGTCAGCTTGGGCAACATGGCATGACCCCATCCCCCAAAAAACAAAAAACCCAAAAAAGTAGGGAAATATGAAAGCCAATGTTATACTACATACCAGAGAAACTTTATAAAGTTTGATTTTTTTTACCAAAACCCATCTTTTCAATGAATTCTTTGTATCATTTCACCAAAATAATAAGTATTAAAATGTTATCTATTAGAAATGAGCATTAAGCTACTTCTGCAGTTAAGAAGTTTAAGTTTCCCTTTTGTAAAATTACCCTTGGTTTTCATTAGAGATTTGAGGTTACATGGATCATTAGTTTAATTCAATATTGTACTTTGCATAGTTCCCAAAGTTCAGGGAACACTACCTATTAAAAAAGAAAGTATAATTTTCTAATTGTAAGAAAACAAATAGGAAAAATGTGTTTTGAAACTAAGTGGCTAGTACCAGGTTTAAAACACAGCTCTGTCACTTATTGGCATAGTTTTCTAAACTTGGGTAAATTACCTAACATTTTGAGCCTCAGTTTCTTCATTCATAAAATGCATATATTGTTTATCTCACAGGCACGTTGTAATTAGGGTGCTCCATCAAGGGCAGCAGATGTTCAGAAAATGCTACTTTTCCTCTTTTGCCCTAACTGACTGTGTAATAGTCACATTTTATAGATAACTTTGAAAGATGTAATGCAACAAAGAAGTATAGGAGGGATGCCTGTTTCACCAATTACTACAGCCAATTTTCTGCCAACTATGGTGAAAGAGATTATTCATATGTATGTTAAATTTCTATACAATGTGGCTAAAGAATGAATATGGACAAAAATAGTTGAAAAATAAGGCAAATCTATTTATCCTCTCTCATCCCACCATAATGCCTGCCAGCCAAAAAACCATGGAGCTTGGCAGATTACACATATGCAAATATGATTTGAAACACTAAAAAAGGTTAGGAAATGCTAATCATGCTCTATGCTCTACTTTGTGAGTCTGAAATGTGTAAAAAGTCACAATTTTGAATAACCTACAATATGGGTCTCATTAGAACAAATCAGATAAAGGAGACTGCTTGAGTTTCAGCAGGAATTGTTTTCAAAACAACTTTTAGTGTTACATAAAATTATCACTTGATATCATCTTCTAGGTTGAGAGGAAGAAAAAATTCAATCAGAAATTCTGAATCATGGGTTAAGGGCCTATACAACTTCCCAAGTATTTTAAGGGAAATGCTGATGTAGTCCTAGCTACTTAGCTGATGTGTCAAAAATAAATTTTTTTAATTAAAAAAATTTTTATTTAAGCAACCTTATTAAGCAGACTGTTTTGTTGTAATGGCATAATAATGCACATTCCCAGGCTGTTTTCTGATACCTCTAAACAAAATATAAATTTAAAAAGTTCTCCAAGTTCAGTAGGAGATTATCATGTACAAGTATACTAGGACCAAAAACTGATCTGTGATTGATAAAATTTCATCTTGACCTTCATAGAACATATCAACTATTGACATTTTCTTACCTAGCAATGAAATGTACACATGAACATCGGGAGAAAAGGATTTCTCACAGAGAATAGCAGCCAGAAATAACAGGAAGGGTGGAGAAAAAGAAAGGGTCCAGAGCCAGAGTATTAATATGGAGACCCAGGTTGTTGGAATAAGCAAAGACCACAATATTTTTAAATCACCCTCAAGTTTCCCCAAGTACATATGTCTTCCAAACTCCCTGATACCTGCAGTAGTTTTCCTGCCCAAAGCTTATGCAACAGGAGTTCCATCACGAAGGTGTTGAGTATGAGGCATCAGAAACCTCTCTCCAACTTGGTTAAGATACCATCACATTGTTCAGAATCCAAAGAATTTTCTATGCAATCACATTGAAACAATAAGAAACAAGCATTTTATATTCTTAATAAGGAATGTATATAATCCTTACCAATGTGACAGGATTAAGAATCAGCTCCTCATTTATCCTAAGGAAATATCAGAGATGTGCATAAAGACTTATGTACAGTGATATTCATCATACTCATTATACTGAAAAATAGAAAACAATCTAAATGACCAACAGGGGACTGGTTAATTAAATCATAATACATCTATTCATATCTAGGAATACTATGAAATGGTTAAATCAGGGCCTCAAAGAAAAATTAATGATGCAAAAAATGTTTCCAATATATTAAATTAAAAGGGATACAAAACCGTATGACCCCAATTTTGCACCCTCCCTCCCAATATGGGTGCATGTATCTGGCAAAACATATAAAATCTTATCAGTAGTTACCTGGGCCATAGGATTTTCTTCTTTGTATTGTCTTTTCAAAATTATATGCATTTATTATGTATTATTTTTATAAAGAAAAAACAATAAATGTAATCAGAAAAATCAGTTTATTTCTAGTTATGGTGCCCTTATGACTAGTTGTTCTGCTACTTCTCTAACTACCAAAGATCTGTTAGTATCCAAGATTGTTCTATTTTCTATATTAGGACAGGAATGACCTCTGTTTACATCTACATTTTAAAGTTTATGAGGACCCTTTCAGGTTTTATTTACTTATTTATTTTTTTTCTGGTCCTTTGGTTGTGGCCTTAGAAAGTAAGTTTTAGGCCTGAAACCACCTCATGTTTTTGAAGTGTACCCCTATGGGGAATTCTGCTTATGAAATAAGACATGTTGAGATAAGAATAAGGAAATGAAAACACAGTAGCCAAAATTAAGTCTGTATTGTGAATAGCAAGTAGTAGAACTGACACTGCAGAAAACAGAATCCATGCCACAGAGGACAAACTTGAATAAATGAAAAAAAAAAGAAAAGATAAAAACTATGGAAGACAGACAGAGAAATAATCTATGAACCACAGATGTTCCTAAGGGGGAAAAAAGAGCAGTTTAATCAATCAAAAGTATAAGAAAACTTTCTAGTTCTGAAAAAAAATACCTGAGACTGGAGACTGAGAAGGTTCAACAGAGATCATCAACACCAAGACATGTCCTGGCAAATGTTTTTAAATTTCAAGGATAAAGATATAATCCTATAAGCATACAAGCAGAAAAAAATAGGTTATTTCAAAGGAACTAAAACCAGATTGACCTCAGATTTTTCCTCTGCAACAATAAAATGCCAGAAGATAATGAAATAATGACCTACAGAGAATTGAAAGAAAAAAGTTAAGATCTGGGAATTTTATACCTCACCCTAATTTTTCATGTACAAAGGTCACAGGAGATCATTCTTAGACTTTCAAAATCTTAAAAAAATCTCACCATCCTAGTAGTATCTTTTAAAAACAAATTGTTCAAAGGTACATTAAAGAGAATTTTAAAAAGAGCTCAAGAATACTGACATAGAGAAGAACTAGTGAAGTAAATATACTGACACCAAGTTAATATCTAGAAATAACTGAAAATAACTAATCCCACTAAAGTAAAAAGGTTCAATGATGAAGAATAAATAACTGACGTAAGTATATAAATAATGTAAAAGAAAAAGTACCTTAGAAATTCAAAAGGTAAGATATGTAACTTGAGGTTAAATTAACGTGGATATAAAATAAAGAAGTAGCGGGAGAAGCAAAGATTCTATGTTCTGTATCTTTCCTAAAAAGAATATTTAATAATCACTATTTTTGTTATCTAATAAATTCTGAAATATTTAAAAAATCACACCATAATCAAGAATAGATGCTTATTACAGTCTATATCACTAAAAAGATAGTAAGTGGTACATACTATTAATAGTACTTATGCAGGTATCATATTCAACTCTAAGAAGAGGTTAAGTACAATTACCCTTACTTTACAGGTGAGGAAACCAATGCTTAGCAAAGTTAGTGAATGGCAGAAGCAGGATTCAAACCCAGGTTTTTCCAGTTCCATAATTCTTCTATAATTTACAACCTTTACAAACAAAACAATCCATATGGCAGAAGGGAAAAATACTCCACAAGCAAAAGAATACAAAATAGAAAATGGCAGAAATCATTCCAAATTGGTAAGAAATGTAAAAATTTAAGAGTTTCTAAAGTGACTTACTAGGTATTTGATGCTATTACAGAATTACTGATATTTTTATGAGTGATAATGGCAAGGCAGTTATGTTTTTTAAAAATCTGTCTTTTGAGAAATATAAACGCAAATATTTATGACTGAACTGACTTGCCTAGGTTTAACTTCAAAATAACCCACTAGAGGTGGGGAAAGGATGTGTGTTTGTATGGGGGGGGGGAGTGAGTGAAATGGGGAGGGGAAGTAGAAATCAAATGATGAAATGATAATCCTTGAGGCTGGTTTATGGGAATATGACTATTTGCTTATTTATTTATTTATTTTTGAGACAGGATCTCACTATGTAGTTCAGGCTGGTCTTGAACTGTGTAGCCCAGGCTGGCCTTGAACTCACAGTAATCCTCCTGCTTCAGCCTCTCAAATGCTGAGATTACAGGCATATGCCACCATACCCGGCAACATGGCAGTTTATTACAGTACTTTTACTACTCTAGTATGAGTCTGAAATGTTTCATAATTAAAAACGTACACAATAAAAACATTTACTGCTTGAAAAAGAAACCCAAACACAACACTTAAGCATATAAAAGTATAAAGAAAAATAAAGCACGTATTGTAACATTAATGCCAAAAATAAAAGGTAAAGCAAAAACCCTAAGCTGACTTAAAAAGCCATTCTATTTGGACTAAAGATATAATATGTATTGAATATACATACTAAGAGGAGTTGCTATCATTTACTGAGCTCTTACCCACCAAGCAAATGCTAAGCACTATTAATTATCTCTGATGCCTCTAACAACTTTGTGAGGCACCATTATCAATTTATAAATGAGCAAATTAAGTCACAATTGGTATGCCAATATTCTTAGGTACTATATTCCCAGCCTCTAGCAAAATGCCTGGCACACAGCAGGTGCTGAATAAATATTTGCTGAATACCTGAAAAAGTCTAATATCTTATTCAAGGCTAACAAGGAGAGCCCATGTTCAAATCCAAATCTTAGTTTAAAACTTTTATTCTTAGTTGCATAAAAAGCTTCTAATAGTAATATTTCATAGTACGAATACAGATGTTTCTGTTTTTGTGAGACTTTGTACAATTAGCATGTGCTTTTTTTTTTGCGGGGGCGGGGTACCTGGGATCAAACTCAGGACCTTGCGCTTGAGAGGTAAGCAGCGGAACCACTGAGCTAAATCACTGGCCCTGCATGTGCTATTTTTAAAAGACAAGGTCATCAAAAATAGTAGATGCATGATAGCACTGAACATTTAACCATAGACTAAACAAACCACAAAACACAAAAGCAGATACTCTGGGACCATGACATGAAATAAATGGAAACAATGTGGATGAGAAATTTTTAGTAACTAATATCAACTAGCATAATGAACAAAATGAGGACAAAGCATTTGAAATAATTTCTATTAGGACAGGTAGGTATTGAATTTTATAATGTAAAAATACTATGGGCTCTTTTCAAGTATTTATGAAGTTATAAAAACTTACCATGCTCTAAAGGTCATAAAGTAAATCTAAAATTCTGAAAAGCAGGACCCATACAGATCATATTTTATGATCATGCTGAAAATCTGAATAAGGAAATAAGCTTAAGCACGCTCTCACAAATCAATATTCTTCTAAATAATTACTAGGTCAAGGAAATAAATAATAACTCATTTATTCACTCCTATTTTGTTCAAATAATAGTGTTAACTAGCTGTTACATATATTCTCTTATTTAAGTGTAATTAAGCATTAACAAACGATGAGGAATGTTCATATGTATAGCAAAGAAAAAATGGTTGAGAGTTAATGTCCAACATCGCAGAGCTATTAAATTTGCAGATAAAATAACCGAACTCAAATCTGAATCCAAATCTCTTACTATCTCTACTTAGAAATGCTGTTATATTACTATTAGAATTCATGTACAGGTATCTAGAAATGCTAATATATCTCTTTTTAAAATAAAATTTTGTGACTAAAGTGGAGAAAATTAGAGTTTTTTAACACAAAATATTCTGAAAGTGTCTACTTGTTAAATACATTTTAACAAGAAGTTTATGGTTCATTTTTCTAGCATATGATTTATCACACATCATTTTTCAAATCATACATTCTTCTAAAAAGGATTCTTTTGAATATATTCATTCTCAATAGGGTAATGAAAAAAGAAAACATAAAAGTAGATTAAAAAGTAGGACATATAAGGTAAACATGATTTATCACTAAATTTATTTCTAAAAACCAGTGTGACCTTGGAAAAGTCACTTTTTTTCCTGGTACTTATCTATAATCCATAAAAATTCTATGGAAACTTACCCAGCATGGATTTGAAAGTCTGCCACTAACACAGCAAGCCTTTAAAGCCTCTCTGAGTTGTGGTTTCTTCATCTATAAAACATGTGGCTATTCGGAGAGCTCTCCCAGCTTGAAAATTTTATAAACACTTGACTTTAAGAATTAAAATTTCATACTAAGATTATTTGATTTTGTTTTTTCTTACGATTGAGGAAATTACTGATTCTACATTCAGTTGATTTCTATATTTCTAATTCCTTCTTTTTTGTCTGTAATTAAAATAGTTTTACCTATACCCATTAGCAGTACATGTGTTCCCTAGTGTAAACAAAGGTAATGCCAGGAACTGATTATATAAATGCTGCCATCTAAACAAATAATGAAAATACTGTTTGTCTGTACAGATTAAGTAATCTAACTCAACTTTGCAATTTCCACAATCTAATCTTACACTATTCTTATTTTACTAGTAGAGAAAACTGGTACAATTCCAACTTTTTAAAAACTCCTGTATCCATTCCTAATCCTATTTCTGCCTCCCCCAAACCTTCAAACCCTACCTCAGTACAAAATGGTAGTATTTCCCAAGTCTCCTTGATGATAAGAATTACTTAAGATTCTTGTTAAAGACACATACTTGGGGATGGGAATATAGAGCTCAGTAGAAGAGCACTTGCTTAGCATTTGTTAAGTGAGGTCTTGGGTTCAATCCCCAGCACCCCTCAAAGACCCCTAACTCCTCTAAAACAAAATGAACCCCCCCCCCGTATATTACCTGGCCTTTATACAGACATCTTACAAGACCCTTGTGTAGTCAAAAGATCACGGGCTTTGGAACCTGGCACATCAAGTTTCCAAATCTGGCTCTGCCTTTTACCATATATATGACTTTGGTAAAGTGATTTAACATGAATTTCAGTTATCTAGTCCATAAAATTTGGATACTAGTCATGCCAAAGGTTATGATAAATTCAATGTGCCTAGCCATCCTGGGTGTTCAATGTCAGCTTCTCTTTCCTTCTGTTCGTCTTGCCAATACTAATATTTGCCAAATACTAATATTTGAGGAGATTTTGAGGAGTAGCTTTGTCCTGAAGGATTCACTTCCATTTCTAGGGCAAATAATCTGAATACTAGACAACCTATGCCTTACTTGGGGTGGCTAATTCAGGAGTCTCATGAACAAACCTAATCATTTATTTTTCCTGGTTTCCAGAGGTTTAATGAAGCCCTCCTATCTGAAACAGATATACCATCATGCTAGCTTCAAAGTCTAAGCTCTTGCACAATTCACAATAGCTAAATTATGGAAGTGGCTTTATGTCCATTAACAGATGAATGCATAGATAAAATGCAGCATATACACACAATTAAGTACTACTTAGCCATAAAGGAGGATAAATTTGAGTCACTGTAGGAACATGGATAGATTTGATGCTAAGTGAAATAAATCACACAGAAGGATAAATATTACATGATGTCTCTTATATGAGAAATCCAAAATATAAATAATTTAAAGAGTAAAAGAGAGATGGAAATAGGGAGGTAGACTTTGTAGAGATGGGAAGGGTATGTGAGGAAGGGGAAGTGAAAATGATCAAGATGCTATATAAACAGGTATCAATCCCCCAAGATGAATGCAATCATGTATTACACATATATGCCAACAATAAAAAAGTGCAGGCTTTTATTTTGCTCAGACTGTTGCAAAATCATCTGGAC